AAGAGGGATGTGGAGGACTTTTGCCGCTGTGACAACTGCACAGCGAGAAAGGGCCCTCCAGGCCGTTCTCATGCTCAGCTCCAACAGTTCCCAGTTGGGGCTCCCATGGAGAGGGTGAGAGTGGTTGTAGTTGGGCCGTTCCCCACCACAGACAGTGGAAACCGCTGTGTGCTCACGGCCATGGACTATTTCACAAAATGGCCCGAGGCCTATGCTCTGCCTGACCAGGAGGCAGAGACCATCGTCGATGCCCTGACAGCAGGTTTGAAGCTGCGGAGTCCATCCACAGCGACCAAGGCAGAAACTTTGAGTCCTGTGTGTTCGCCACCATGTGTGAAAGGCTGTGTATGCACAAGACCCGCACTACTCCTCTCCATCCTCAAAGTGATGGCCTTGTGGAGCACTTCAACAAAACGCTTGGACAGCAGCTGGCCATCGTCTCTGCCAAACATCAGCGTGACTGGGACAAGCACCTGCCCATGGTCCTCATGGCATGCCGCTCCGCTGTCCAAGACCACCTCCTGCACGCCTGCCCTCCTCATGCTGGGGAGAGAGATCCACACCCCTGCAGAGATGGCGTTTGGTCGACCCCTGGATAGCCTCCTGTTCTCCCGGGGCCGGAGTATGCCCGGAGACTCCAGGACCGCCTGGAGACAGCCCACACCTTCGCCAGAGAGCAGCTGGTGAGTGCAGGTGTTAGGCAGAAGAGGAACTATGACGTGCACACCCGGGGAAGGCACTTTGTGGCTGGGGAGCTGGTCTGGGTCTACAGCCCCCTGAGAAAGAAAGGCAGATGCCCCAAGTTGACAGCCACTGGGTGGGGCCCTGCAGCATCCTGGAGAGGGTAGGGGAGATTGTGTATCGGGTGCAGCTTTCTCCCAGGGGGAGAAAGGTGGCACTGCACCGGGACAGGTTAGCCCCATACAGAGGGGCCTCTTCTCCCCAAACCCCAGGGACCCCCACAATTCCCCTCGCTGGCTATGACATTCCCCAAGCACCCACCCCAAGGTGCCGCAGACAAGGCTCCAGACAGCCCACTCACCCAGTCTTCCTTCCTGTGTCACTGCATGGTTTCCCGGAGCCACAGACTCTATTACCCATTTCCTCATCCTTGTCCCCCATGTCCCTGGCTTCATCCCCTGGGCCCTAGAGGGGCAGTCCCCTGCCATGGCCTGAGCCCCCTGTTCCACATCTGGACACTCTGCGACCATCACAGGGGGGGGGTGGAGCATCGCAAGTTTAAGACCATGCTTAGCCATTTTTCTCTCTCTTACATCTGGTCTTAACAAGAGATGGTCACGGTTGTTTTAATACGGGTATCCTTGATTTATTTGGCTGGGCTACGGACAAACAGTAGCCTGTGTTGAGTTTGGTTAATAAACCGGGAATTCATGAACTCAAACCTCTGTTTGGACAATTGTTCATTTATGATCTAGCCAGGTCTCAGCCTCCAGTATTTATGCTGCAGTAGTTTATGTGTCGGGGGGCTGGGGTTAGTTGGTTATACCTGGAGTACTTCTCCTGTCTTATCCAGTGTCCTGTGTGAATTTAAGTATGCTCTCTCTAATTCTCTCGTTCTCTCTTTCTCTCTGAGAACCTGAGCCCTAGGACCATACGTCAGGACTACCGGGCATGCTGACACCTTGCTGTCCCCAGTCCGCCTGGCCTTGCTGCTATTCCAGTTTCAACTGTTCTGCCTGCGGTTACGAAACCCCTACCTGTCCCAGACCTGCTGTTTTCAACTCTTAATGATCGGCTATGAAAAGCCAACTGAGAGACCTGAGCCCTAGGACCATACGTCGGGACTACCGGCCGTGGTGACTCCTTGCTGTCCCCAGTCCGCCTGGCCTTGCTGCTATTCCAGTTTCAACTGTTCTGCCTGCGGTTATGGAACCCCTACCTGTCCCAGACCTGCTGTTTTCAACTCTTAATGATCGGCTATGAAAAGCCAACTGAGATTTATTCCTGATTATTATTTGACCATGCTTGTCACTTATGAACATTTTTGAACATCTTAGCATGGTTCTGTTATAATCTCCACCCGGCACAGCCAGAAGAGGACTGGCCACCCCTCATAGCCTGGTTCCTCTCTAGGTTTCTTCCTAGGTTTTGGCCTTTCTAGGGAGTTTTTCCTAGCCACCGTGCTTCTACACCTGCATTACTAGCTGTTTGGGGTTTTAGGCTGGGTTTCTGTACAGCACTTCGAGATATTAGCTGATGTACGAAGGGCTATATAAAATAAAATTGATTGATTGATTGATTGATTACAATATTATAAAATGGTTGAGTTGGTGGTTGAACATAGAAAAATGGTCTTGTGTGATTAATTATTTTGTGTGGTTGCCCAACTCCCATTGATTGTGAAGGATTACTAATATCTGAAACAAATGAGAAAATACAGTAGTTGATTGACTTGATACTTCATCCATCACCAATAATCCATTTTGAGTAATGTTTCAATGTATCAAACTGAGTAGGCTAATACATAAATCACCTTCTATTGTTTGGTCAGGGGCAGAATGACAGCACAGGATATTATACACCGCAATTCTAGTGCAAAGAGGAAACAAAAAGTTAAAACGTCAGTTAGCCTACACACATCATTACATTTTGGTCCCAAGTCAGTGTAGAAACTGGTAGTGAGCTGCAGAGGCTATGCCTTCCAATAAGGCAACAATCTGTCTGCATCCATGAACAAGAATAAATATAGGTACAGTATATGCCATTACATTGGAGTTAAAGACATGAAAATGAGATGGCCAAAAATGAATAAAGACATACAAACCTAACCGTGAACATGATGGTCAGGAAAAAGTGAGACCTTAGACGTGCAAGAAACGAGAGCAAAAACAAACTCACCCATTACTCACCCTCCCCATCAGATGTATCATCTATGGCGCATGGGGCATTGCAACACGCGCGTCCAACACAAATTAGTGTGTAATGAACTGTGAATTGACAGGCAAATTAGGCTATTAGTAATTTCCACCACAAGGTGGCATCAAAACTACAAAAATGCGTGTACCGCACCAGCTTTACGACATTTCCTACAAACCAAGCCATTTTGGCTCCCCTGATCACTGTTTGAGAATAAGGTTATGACCATAGAGATAGATAGATAGATAGATAGATAGATAGATAGATAGATAGATAGATAGATAGATAGATAGATAGATAGATAGATAGATAGATAGATAGATAGATAGATAGATAGATAGATAGATAGATAGATAGATAGATAGATAGATAGATAGATAGATAGATAGATAGATAGATAGATAGATAGATAGATAGATAGATAGATAGATACACTCATATTTGTATCTGTGCCATTATAGCATCTGTGAAAGCATGGGCAGTGCCATTGAGGTTATCTCTGTCGATGTGCACTTGAGCAAGGCACTTAACCCTAATTTCTCCTGTAAGTTGCTCTGGATAAGAGTGTCTGACTAAAAGTGATTGACTGATCCCTCCTGATGACCTGGTTGGACATGACTCCAACAGGGTCACCAGGAGGGATCAGCCAATGAAGTTGGAAGTCCCACGAACCCAGTTGACTCAGGCCCCCAGTGTCCGGTCTGGAGTGTGAAGTCACAAGCTCTGCTGGGTGGCTACTGCGTAGCAACCTAGCGGTGGCAAAAGCCCTGGTCTGCCCTAGAAAGCCTATGTACATTACGATCGGCAGAAAGGCCCCCACAAAAATGTTGATGCCCGTTTTGGCCTCTAAAAGGTGTTTATTATGATCAAGTTCGATCCCCACAGAGAATTGTTTTAAATGTTGCTACAATTGGAGATATATAATTAAATAGTGATCCGTTCTGACTACTACATTTGTCGTCACACAGGACCATGTGCTGACACAGACATTCACAGGCCGGCAGGCTACAAGGAGGCTCCTGTTGACTCTCTCAGGCAGGGTCGACCATGATCCTTTGCTAGTTACGACCACTTTCACCATGATCCTTAGCGATTTTTGTGTGCCATTCAGCCCCATTCAGTAATATGGCATGCTTCCAATTCAAATACTTCCGGCTTCATGTGCCATCTGGAGTTTTCCTTGGGAATACGTTAATGACATCAGCGCTATCACTATTTACTGGTTTTAATGTCTATGAGTTTACATAAAAATGGTGGAAGCCCTCAATGGCGCTGCCCAAGCTAAGAATGGCCTTTTGGCCACTAGAGGCCTCTATCATTCTCTATGGTTATGACACACAATGGCGATGCATGGAGGTTCGTTTCTTTGCGCAAAGCAGAATACGGCATTTTTCTCATGCAGTTGTTTACATTTATAGCTAGTACTGCAGCTATACTTTTCGACCCGGTTACTGCTCGTTTTGGAATTGAATTAAGACGTATTTTTGTTTTTTAGCGAACAAGTCTGTATTGAGATGCGTGCATAACATGGTGTTTTCAAAGCACCTGTTTTTGAATGAATTGATATCTCATCGTGATTCAATGGCTGTCAGTGTAGACAACTGAACGAAAACACTGGGTAAGCAGATATGACAGTATTTATACATAGGTGCAGTTGTAGGCTTTCACCTTGCTAGAATTGCTACAACAACGTTTAGTTTACTCATTTTGTTGTTGGAAATATAGAGTACTGCAGAATAAGTAAATCAGTGTCTCTCTCTGGTGGCTATGTGTGTCCCTTGATATGACTGAGCCTTGCGGTTTAACAGTCAGTCACACTGTCAGGGCATACAAGTAACCTCTTATGAATGGATGTCAGTAAGGCAAGCAGGTAGCTTAGTGGTTAAGAGCGTTGTGCCAGTAACCGAAAGGTCGCTGGTTCTAATCCCCGAGCCGACTAGGTGAAAAATCTGCCGTTGAGCAAGTCACTTAACCCTAATTGCTCCTGTAAATCGCTCTGGATAAGAGCGTCTGCTAAATGACAAAAAAAGAAAAATCTTGCCACTGCTCATCAATGCTGCCTGTGGTGTGTCAGTGCCCTCAATGATTTGCTATCTGGATGATGATGATATCTCTTTTCCAGGATGGCCAGTACACTTTTAAACCAGCTAGAGGAGGTAAGATGCCATGCGGAAGCCTGTCTGCATTCCACTGGTTCAGTGCTGGAGATCCGGGCAGGAATATTAGCCATGGCCAACATACCCTTACCACCTTCAGCCAAATACCACTACATTGCTGCTGAGACCATGGTAATTGAGAACAGCATTGGTAACAACAGGAAAGAGGTTAGTTAGTTCACTGTTTCAAGCACACACTCAAACTATGCCCATATCACATTTCACCTTCACTTAGCCTATATCTTGGAATACATAACTAATTTTCCCTCTCTCGCTCTCTATGTATTGTGCTGCATTTCTTTGTTCAGTGTCCATTCTTTTCTCAACCTCTTTCTGTATCAACCCTTTTTTAAATCTTTGTTCTCTCTCCTGCCAGACCATAGGTTCCCTGCAGAGACTGTCCACAGCACTGAACATTCTGGAGAAGTATGGCTGTAACCTCACCAGCTCCAGTAGGCCCAAGTACTGGCGCACTGTCAAGCACAACAACCCCGTCTTCAGAGCAACAGTAGATGCCATTCAGGTGAGGATGCCTTCAATACAGGTAGGTTAGATTCTGGGTGATGATATGTAGTCTACTGCCTTGTCACTATAAACGTATTGGCATTATGTTGATAAAGGCCTAGTTCAATACAGTGTTTCCCCTAGGATTTGTTTTCAGCAGCAGTGGGAAAGTTAGTGTGTGGGGGAGGCGTGTTAGTGGCGTGGCCAATGTTGCAGTCTCCGACCTAACATTTTAGAGGCCGTCCTCTTGGCCGCAGAGACAATGTTGCTGTTTTAAAGCTAATTTCCTGCAATTTTACACATTTTTCCATGGGGCAGAGAGAAAATAAAATGTCGTTTTAAAGCTAATTTACTAGATAAGTCTTATGGTATTTGAGTGACTCAAACGTTGTAAATTAAATCAATGGGGGCCCCTCACCTTGAAATTTTTTGAATTTTAGATTCTCCCAGAACATATAGTTTTTGATTTGGTGATTGTTAGTTCTCAAAGATAATCTTATTTAAAAATATATAGCTCCATTATCTTTTCTACATACTTTATATCTGGTTTTAGTCGTTTAAGTTTACACTGAAAACATTTTACCATCCTATATATATTGGAGTGGCAGGAACGATTTGCTGCTAAATTAATATAGGGAAACACTGATTGAGTCTATAGCTTACTATCGTTTTGATCAAGTTAATTGTGCACACACCATTAACTCTACTAAATTTTATGTCAACATTTTTGCATAAAACCCCTCTATCTCCTTTCCTCTCCTCTGTTCTACCTCAGGGAGGAAGGGCAGTGCTCTGTCTCTATGGTTACTCCAACCAGCAGCCAGACGGACTGAGTTTCCCTGATGTGGTCATGGAGCCTGACATTAAGAAGGTTGCAGCGGTCACCTTGGAGGTCATGAGTCTACGCATGGAACTGGACATGCTCATCAAGGTCTAAACCTATGGCATTGTCTCAAAGACAGTTATTCTGTAATATTTCAGAGGTTTATAAAATCAGTTGTTGTACTGAGTCATAGTTGTTGTTGATGTTTTCACAGGAGGCCCATCCCCACCCAGAGTTCTTTGAGAGAATTATCCCATCACTGAATCAAAAGGTATTTTTCCCCATAACCTGTCCTCTTCCTCTCTGCCTTCTACTTGATATTTTGTTCACCCTAATAGCCTCTCTCTGCTTCAGACAGTGTTTTATATTTGTGTGGTTTTGTGTCTGTTAGTGTCCACTACCATCAGATGACTGAAATCTCCTTTATGATTCCAGGATGACTTCGGACCAATGTCTGAAGTAGTAGCTATTCCCTCCAGCCTGAGAGAGAGCCAGCCCCTATACATGTCTCTGTCCTCCCTGTCTCAGTCTCCCACTAGTGCCTTTCTTCCAGTACGGACTGCTAACGCCTCAACCTCCACCTCCATCTCTACCAGACACACAGGTTAGAACTGTGTATGTGTGAGTGCGTGCGTGTGTGTGTGTTTTTGTTTAACTATCCTTGTGGGTACCAGAAGTCCTCACAAGGATAGTAAAACAAGGAATATTCGGACAAGTGGGGACATTTTGCCGGTCCCCACAAGGGAAAATGCTATTTTAGGTTTAGGGTTACAATTAGGGTTAGGGTTTACGGTTAGGGTGAGGTATAGTTTTAGGGTTATGGTATGGTTAGGTTTAGGGTTAGGGAAAATAGGATTTAGGATGGGAATCAATTCTTTGGTCCCTACACAGGATAGCAATACAAAAACTCTGTGTGTGTGTGTGTGTGTGTGTGCATGCATGTGTACATTTCTAACATCTGAAACTTACATTTCACCTTTTCTTGTTTCTCTTCCCCTGCAGCCAGCTGCACTATCTGTGCTATATTTCCTGTGGCTGCCCATTGTAACTCTTGTGTCCAATGGCTATGTACGGAATGTGACAGACTGTACCACTCCTCCGCAGAGCGAGCCAATCACCACAGGACTGTCGTGACATCCTCTAAAATGCGAAAGAACCACAGGTAAAACATGACTAATAACACAAAATAAAAACTGAGCAGTAAAGGATGAAAATGTATACATTTTCATTGCTGAAAATGCAACTGTCTCTGTGTGTTAGGCACTAGATTCACTTCCTCTGTCTCTCCCAGCAGCGCCCTCCCGTCATGGCACTGTACCCACTGCACCAGGGTCAACTCCATTCAGGACGTACTGTGTGAGATGTGTGAGAGGCCACGCCTGGCCTCCTCTGGCCCTGCTAAGGATGAGTTCCCACAGCCCTCCACCATCACTGGTCAGTATACACACACACACACACCTAACCAACGATGTATGTGTTTTAATAGTGGTGGTTTGCCTTTTCTCCACTCCAATTAGTCTCACTCCTCTCTCTTTCTTTGCTTACTTGGTATGCTATATGTGGTTGTTGAGTTCATAATCACCTCTTCAATTGCCCTGTGATGAGTGTGTTTTCACTATGTATTTCATTAGAGTGGCAGTGTAAAAGCTGTACGGTGGTGAATGCAGGCAGTAGTATCCTGTGTGAGGTGTGTGAGCGCCCCCGCCTGGCCACCAAGCCTCCTGCAACCCCCACACACCCCCGTCCTACACCCAACCGGCCTGCTGCTCCAGTACTGGGCATGCCAGGAGACCCAGACAGCCAGGTAAACCACTGTTAATGTCAGTGCAGGAGCAGCACGTTTGAGTTGAAAGGAACGTTTCAGATTCTGCCTTTATCAACCATGTTTTACAGTTTATGTTGTTCCTCTATTCCCGTGAGTCTCTAAGCTCATGTCAATTATCTCTTATTTTCCCATCTTCTCTCTACTCCTCTGTTGCAGTGGGTGTGCCAATTCTGTACTTATGTCAATTACACTCCAGCGTCAGTGTGTGAGATGTGTGACCTTCCCCGTCCCGAGCCTGCCAAAATGCCAGTCAAACTCCATCCTCCGTCCCAGGTCAAAAGGGTCCCTGTGCTGTCCATCAAACCCAAAGACCCGCCCATGGAGGACCCTGATTTGAGGAGACAGAAACAGATGAGGGAGGAGGGGCTAAAGCTGATTGAGCTTATTAGAGTGAGTGAAGGCTTCCTGTAGAACTATAATATGGTGTGTAATCACTTTACCCCACTAGGAATATTACAAGATATTAGCGAATTTAAGATTTAGATTCAGAAAAGTATTTATTGTACCATTGCTGAGCGATTTGGTTGCAGGAATATTAAAACTACAGATTTCAGATAACAAATGATGTGTGAAAATAACCTAGCATCCTCTTACTTATTCATACATACAGTGTGGTGAGTAGCAGCAGCTGAGGCCTAGTGAATATGTATGACAGATTTTTATTTATTTTGCTCTCCCCCCTTTCTGTCTCTTATCTCTATCTTCCCTCTCTCTCTTTCCCCCTCTCTCTTTCTCCCTCTCTCTCTCTCTCTCTCTCTCTCTCTCTCTCTCTCTCTCTCTCTCTCTCTCAGGATGGAGAGAAGAAAGGAGTGAGTCCAGAGGAGGTGTACACGGGCATGCGCGTCTCCGGGGACGGCAACATCCTCCCCTGTGATTGGCTCAAAGCGGAGCTACCTCACCTGCTCGAGCAGATCTGTGCCATGGCCGCGTCGTCTCCAGCAGCAGACCTGAAGACAGGACTGAATCAGAACGGGCTGTCCAACGACACTGGTACTGCAGAGGATACGGGTGTGGAGGAGGAGCAGCCCAGAGGGGGAGGAGTGACCCTGTCCAGGGCTGAGGCCAAGCTGGCCTGGCTGTCTGCAGGGGGAGAAACTGAGAGAGCAGCCAGACAGGCTCTCAGAGACAGACACGCTAAGGTGAGAGACAGGGCAGGAGGTCTATTGCCCACTAAGAACAGGTCTACGGTCAGTTGTACAGGCACTTCTTTCCCAGCTGAACTCTATTTACCAGTTTCCCAGACCTGGATTAAGCCTAGTCCTGGACTAAAACACACTTTCAATGGAGATTCTCCATTAGGAACTATTTTGAATCCCGAATTAGGCTTATTCTTGGTCTGGGAAATTGGCCCTATATGTAAGAGATTAGTCTTTTAACACTCAAAGAAGGGTTTGCTTTCTCATGTACCTGTCCTCCTGTGCAGGTGAAGGAGCTGTGTTCTCTGGGGTTCACCGACGAGGCACGGTGTCAGGAGGTACTGAGGCAGAATGGGGGAGAGGTGCGGGGGGCTCTGTCTCTGCTGCAGCGACCGCTCATGGAGCCCTTCCACCAGCGCATGTGGAGCGACCAGCCCGAGCCCCCCATCGACATCAACCACCCCGACAAACAGGTGGGACACTGGGGCTCAACTCTATTATGTGCTTTATTCTGCCCGTACATTTAGCTGAACACATAATAGCTATATTGATGATAATGTGCTCACCACTACCACCATTAGAAAGGTCCACACATCATACATGTTCTTCAATCATCTGACAGTTGCTTGATGTCTCATGTAAATTGATGCTTTACAGTGAAAAGCATTAGTTTGGAGTCAGGAATATCTCTCCTTTCATCATGCCTCTGCATCAGTTGGTCCACTCCACTGGTCTGATCTCTCTCTCCTCTCCCTCTCCCCTCCTCCCTCCATCTTCCCCCTGGGACCAGCGTGTGTGTCGGAGGCTGCTGGCGGTGTATGACCTGCCCAGCTGGGGGCGCTGTGAGCTGGCCCTGTCCTTGCTGCAGGAGCGCACCTCCCCCTACTCCTTGGACGACGTGGTACAGGCCGTACGTGAGTCACAAGACAGAGAATTCATCCGCCGGGTGCTGGCCAAAGAGTGCCCCATCTGCCTGTCGGACTTTCCCCACAGCAAGGTACTCTCTCAAGTGTGTGTGGGGGAGTTGTGGGCGTATTTGCGTGCATGTCAGCACTAGCTTGCCTTTGCTCAAAATGAAGTAGAAGCTTTTCTGTGTGTTTATTTGCAGTATCTAACCCCCCCCCCCCCCCCCCCCACAACTCTCATACACCTTTCTCTCTTCCTGTCTTTCTCTTTGTCCTTCCCTTCCTGTTTCAGATGCAGTCTCTGACCTCCTGTCAGTGCTCGGTGTGCTGTGGATGTTTCCAGCAGCACTTCACCATTGCAGTTAGAGACAAGCACATCAGAGACATGGTGTGTCCCGTCTGCTGGGAGCCTGACATCAACGACCCCGAACACCTCAACAGCTACTTCTCCACCCTGGACATCCAGGTAGTACATCACACAGAGAACAACTCTCCCTAAGATTCTCTCTTTGAAGAGAAAAGAAACAGAGTGAAGACCTATTTTCTGGATTTCAGAGGCTTCTCTCCCTTCAAAATGCAGGTGTCAGTGTGTTTTCAGGGTGTGTGTGATACTGTCTATGATGATGGTTACACCTGTAATAATATTTCTGTGTGTGTGTGCAGCTGCGGGAGTGTCTGGAGCCGGAGGTATATGATCTGTTTCATAAGAAGCTGACTGAACAAGCCCTCATTAAGGACCCCAAGTTCCTCTGGTGTAGTCATGTGAGTTTTAATCACATAATATCCTTGAGCGGGTTCTTATAGTTTACATTTCCTATGTATACAAAGGCAAAGGAAAAATATGTTTTTGCTAAATTGAGGCTGTTAAAAATAATTTCATTACATGCTACACCCATCTTCACTAGCTAAAAAGGACCAGTACCTGCCCTTAAACTGTTGATGAACTATTCCTCTTCCCTTTCCTGTCTTCTGTTCATAACTTCTCCCCCCAGTGCTCCTATGGGTTCATCTATGATGGAGACCAACTGAAGGTCACCTGTTTCCAGTGCAGGAACAGCTTCTGTGCACAATGCAAGAAACCTGTAAGTGAGAAACATTACCTCTGTGTGTGAGGGAATCTGAATCAGAAATTGCAATTAATTGGGGCTATGAGAAGAGATGATATATAGCTTTAGAGTAGAGATGATATATGGCTTTAGAGTAAAGCTGCTGGAGCCCCATCTCACTCCATTGTCCCCTCTTGTCTCTCTCTCTCTCTCTCTCTCTCTATCTCTCTCTCTCTCTGTCTCTCTCTATCTCTCTCTCTCTCTGTCTCTCTCTGTCTCTGTGTGCCCTCTAGTGGGAGTCTCAGCATGGTGGTCTGTCATGTGAACAGTACCAGTCCTGGAAGAGAGAGAATGATCCAGAATACCAGAGGCAAGGCCTGGCCGGATACCTGCGCGACAACGGCATCAGTGAGTCACAGCACACACACCTTCTAAAACACCTCCTCATTAAGAGCTACTGTAGTGTTTAGACAGAAAAGGCAGGTACTTGCAGAGGTGTGAACGGCCAGACACTTCACTAGGTGTTGGGCTGAGAGAGATCAAATTGATCTTACTAATAGTTCATCTTCCAAACCAGCACATTTCATTAGCGTCATGAACAACACTCCCATAAAGGTACTGTAGGCCTTCTGCTTGAACTAAGGCAGTTGACTAAGACCCTGTTTTAGCAAAGAGTTAGAGCCAGTTAGAGGCCTTTTTAGGTCCCTCCACAGCCTTCAATTAATTAATTAATTAATTAATCAAACTATTTATCCTCTTCCTCAGATGCATTCTCATGTCTGCTCTCTGTACTCTCCCTCAGCCTGTCCAAACTGCAGGTTCCAGTATGCCCTGTCTAAAGGAGGCTGTATGCATTTCTGCTGCTCCCAGTGCAGGTACCAGTTCTGCAGCGGATGCAACAACCCCTTCCACACTGTAAGTTCCTTCTCAAATGAGTTGGTATGTTAGTGTTGTGTTAGTCGATCGTGCTAGTTCCTGGCAAGGGGTTCGAATGACTTGAATGTGGCTTTAATGTGAGTGTTTGTTTTTCTTCCTCCAGTCTATCTTTCACTCTGCACTCTCTGTCTCTCTCCCCACTCCCTCCTTCTCTCTCTCCCTCCCCTTCCCTCTCTCTATCCCTCCCCTATTCTGTCCCTCCCTCCCTCTTCTGTAGACGTGTGCAGTGATCCAGTGCAGTGTGACAGGCCTGCATGCCCATCACCCTCGAGACTGTCTCTTCTACCTGAGGGACTGGGAGCCTGTTAGACTGCAAGCCCTGCTGCAGGTAGACACACATACTACACACACACACACACCAGTCACACACACCACCACCACAAACGCGGATGCTCACACACCATTACAATCACCATAACCACATTATAGCACTCACAATCGCAGTTATAACTAGGGCTGTCAAACAATTAAAATAATTGATTGAGTTAATGGCATTAGTTAATCGCGATTAATCACAATTTTAGAATTTGCCCAAATGTGGCCCTAAAGAAAGATTTTTCCATTAAAAAAATAAGTGCATTAAGTAACAGGCATACTGTTCTTTGATTGTAATGGACAGAAACACAAAATGATCTACATCAGAAGGTTTTAATAGCATTTTTACCATAAACAACACAAGTCACTGTAACATACAGCTGTAAATGCTCCCAGTGTTTAAGTCACTTATCAATGTTCGTGAAGTTTAACAATTGCGCACAAACACACACACACACACACTCTCTTTCTCACACACACACACTCTCTTTCTCTCACACACACACACACAGACACACACACACACACACACACACACACACACACACACAGCTTTAAGTACTGTTAAATCTTTAGGCATTCTAAATGAGTAACTATAGGAAAAAATAACTGGCTCTATGGATACAAAGAGCTTTTAAACTTGTCCAACAATGTTATGAAAACACTGTAACCATCTTTACTGTTCAGACAACTTTACACACATAGGCCTCCATACTCTCCCTCCCTCCATCCCTCCCACACCCTCTCTCTCTCACTTACGCCCGCTCTTGTACACATCCTCTCTCACAATCATACACACCCCACTCTTGCGTATGCAGCCTACCTTTGAAGCATCTCTTTGAGTAGCCAATTCCTTTTCAGTTCTTCCTGTGCCATTCAAATGTGTGCATAGTCTAGTCAGTGGTCAAGTTCTCAGGTTGCTAGCTAGCTGACTAGCTAGCTAAACAATGTTGTTTGTTATCAAACCAAAAAATAGCGGCTTGCGAGTAGTTTAAAACAGCCCACGACGTGCTTGAATCCACAGAATGTTTTTAAAACATAGCTCTGGTAATATTGGGCAAAACTTTTACATGGTTTTGGCTAGAGGCACAGGGTCTTCGGCGATGTAAAGGTACAAGCATTGACTGTAGCTGTGTTCCATATTGTGTTCTGTGCTTAAATGGGTCCGTGCGGTGAGGAAATGGAGATGCAATTAACGGTTTCAAATAATTTAACTGTGATAAACATGTCACGCATTAACACGTTATTAACACGTTAACTTTGACAGCCCTAGTTATAACGGATTTTATTCTAAGAATATCTGGAGATGGATCGCATTACCTGTTAATTATTTGATTGTTATTGTCTGCGTTTGCAGAACAAGGGTGTTGAGTTCAACACTAACACCCCTCCAGGAACTCAAGCAGGTAAGATTCTATCTGTTAGGCCATCTTTAGTTTTTACTCAGAAAACCAGAAAGAAACGGAGCGATATACTACTTATTCTCTCTCTCTCTCAGGGATGTGTGGCGTGATAGAGCAGAAGGATGAGGGGGGGCAGCAGACGGACTCGGCCTGTGGGGCTCAAACTCAGCCTGGCCATGCAGGACTCTGCGAGTATGTCACTGCGAACAACTATATAGCGTTTTTCAAGGACCCAAAAGCGCTTTAGATAACAACAGAGTGCTCCCATGAAAAACATGAAAACATGCATATATGTAACTAACTGGTTTTTGCTTAATCTATTCCAGGAAACACTACAGAGAGTACTTGGTGAGTCTCATCAATGGCCATTCCATCGACCCGGCCCCTCTCTTCAATGCCAACGAGCTGGTTTTGGCCTGTCGGAGATACCAAGTTGATGATGCCCGAGGAGAGATGGAGGACGACGTGAAGTACTATCCTCGAATGCTGGAGGTTTGCTTTGATGATCCTTGTGGAGGGGGTGTTGGGCTTTTTCAAAATATTTTGTCACTTGGTTTGATCATTTCTCATCTAATCTTATTTCAGAAACTTATTGATGAAGTACCACTTGGAGACAAGGTTCCTCGGAAGAAATGAAAACGACTAGTTTTTTGCTTGCTTTTAACAATCAAGTGTTTTTACTATTGAGTGTTGGAATTTTGACTCAAATCGCCATCAAATGTGTTTGCGTCATTGTGACTGTTACACCAAACAGCAGAAAGCTATGCTTATATCCCCATGATTAAGCTACAGTTATTTATGAATCTATATTTGGGGTAAATGCTCAGAGGCACATTATTTTAAAACAGATGTGTGTGTGCACGCGCGTAACATTTAAAGACTCATCAAGACTTAGTGATAACAGGTTTACGTCTTAAATAACCTGTGATATTTAATGGCATCACTTCATTGCACGCAGTCTGTAGGTGCATGCTCTTAACTGTATCATGTCGACTGTGAAGAAAAATACTTGAAAACAGTTCAGACACAGTCATCAATCAAAAGTTCAATCAAACCCTTATGGTTCTCAGTCATGCTCTTTATCCTAAATGTTCCTGGTATGCTTGCTGTAAGGGAGGTAGTTGTGTTCTCAGAGTAACTGCAAGGTTGACATAGTTCCTGGAACTTATTGAGCCAGTTAACTCAAGCTTGATGAGGAGGAAGGATTCCGCTTCAAGACAGAACATTTCGAAACTGGATATTTTTTCCCCTCCAAGTATCTCTACAGTGAATTAATCATACACAATCATTAACAATAAACTTCAGATTTTACTCGATATTCATTGTTTTCCCTTAATTGCTTTTGCCTTCAGTGTCAGTGAATTATGACTGAATACCTCTTTGTGTAAATTGACTAGGACTAATGTGGGACTGATTTATAAAGGATTTGGCCGACTGTGTGTTGCAGCCCCAAGCTCTATGGTTTCCAGCCACCGTTATTCACTGTTCAGACTATGACAAACACACAGAGCAAGAACATTACGGACCTGTGAAAATGCATTTATTCTACACCAGGTTTCAATGTGCTTATTGATTGACTTATATTCTCACTATATTGTTTGCATAAAAGCATGTTTAAAAAGGAGCAGCCTTGACATTTTATGGTCAAATACTATTTCAAAACATCTGAGCATGAATAAGCCTATTTGTTGACAACTCAAATATGAATAATCATACTTTTATTGCTGTTTTTCTCTCCCATACTAAGTCAGATGTGTCAGCCACTGACATGGCTGTTAATGTCTTGCACAGATGAACTCTCTTGTGCTTGTCTCTGTGTCTCTTGGATGTTTGGAAGCATCCCTTGTCTGGAATAGATATGGGTGCAGCAGCAGGGTCAGAGACTAGTGGGGAGGGGGCAGGGAGAGCCTGCAGGGTTATGGGTACTGCTGTGATGTGTCCCCATGCCACAAGGCAGGATTTGGAACAGAACACACTACCAAAAGGCAGACATCGTATTTGTACCCCCTGCTTAGGCCAACCATTAAATGAAAAAAATAGGACAGTCAGTACACGGCAATATATTTTCTGACATATAACTCACACCCTCAGGCCATGATATTTACATTAACCTAACCCAGAATTGTTGTCATAACACAGGATTTTAATATTTCGAGCTCTAGTCAAGCTAGATACATTTTGTTGTATACGCTCTGGGATTGACCTCTGGTGTAGTGTGACTGAGGTTGGCATCTCGGTTGGCAATACTGGGGAAAGGAAGACATTTTAACATGCACAACACTTGTTTGACCTTCATTATCTTGCACAACCAGATAGCAGCCCTGCAAAGCAAATGTATCTGTGGAATGTTTATCAGCCAGCTGTGTCGAAGTAAATTGGCTCCATCAGATGAATTAGAATGAGAACATTCAGTGTGTCAAGGAGCAAAAACTGAAGGATGACAAGTGAACTTCAGAGCTGCAAACTCTCACGCATTGGCCATAAGACACACATTTGACCCTTCACACCTCATATCTCACGCATTGAAAAGTACTGCTTTAATTTTTCTAATTAGTCCATTGTATAGTCAGTGCGTTAACTTTTCAGCTGGGCTCCAAATCGTTTTAGAATCGGAGCATCTGCGCCTGTAATTTAACATCACGAGCGGAACCTCATTGTCCTGTCACATTAGTCCCTTAATTTGGTGATTGGCATTTAGGCTGTGACAACAAAAAGGCAGCAGACAGAATTTTGTCTAACAGATTGTGAACCCAAATGTGTAAATGTTACTCTATAGGGAGGACAATAAATATAACAATTATTTGGTTAGGGTGTAGGGTAGATTAATGTCATTTTGTCTTCAGGAGATTTTATATTTTTACTTTATTTAGTCTCATCAGTGGAACAATTGTCTTAACAAGTGGCTAAAATATAGGGTAATTTGTGTGCTTGTCAGCAAAAACCCTACTGTTATTCCCCACACTTACACTGAGTGTACAAAACAGTATGAACACCTTCCTAATATTGAGTTGCACACCTTTTTTTCAGAACAGCCTCAATTCGTCAGGGCATGGCATCTACAAGGTGTTGAAAGCATTCCCCAGGGATGCTGGCCCATGTTGACTCCAATGCTTCCAATACAGTTGTGTCAAGTTGGCTGGATGTCCTTTGGGTGATGGACCATTCTTGATACACACTGGAAACTGTTGAGTGTGAAAAACCCAGCAACGTTGCAGTTCTTGAGACACTCAAACCGGTGCGCCTGGCACCTACTACCATACCTTGTTTAAAGGCACTACATTTTGTCTTCCCATTCACCCCTGAATGGCACACATACACAAATCCTTCTTTAACCTGTCTCCTCCCCTTCCTCTACACTGATTGGAGTGGATTTAACAGGTGACATCAATAAGGGTTCATAGCTTTCACCTGGTCAGTCTATGTCAGGGGTGTCAAACTCATTTTAGCTCAGGGGCCACATGGAGGAAAATCTATTCCCAAGTGGGCCGGACCGGAAAAATCATGGTATATATAACTTAAATACAACAACTTCAGATTGTTTTCTTTGTTTTAATACGATCAACATACAACATAAAGCTGGAGCCTGAGGACAGTGTGTCCAAAATAGTACAAGCACAACATCACTATTAATCATAAAACACATCAAGTTTATTTGAAAATTCTAAAGAAAAAGAACACAAACACACAATGCCTCAGTGATTAACAGAACTCAGGGGGTCATTTCTCAGGCAGAAATGTAGATAAAAAGAATGAAATCCTGTTCCCCAAACAAGTGCAAGAACCACAGAGTCAAGAATAGGTTAAATATACAAATAAAATAAAATCAATTAAAAACAATAGCACATCAACATAAAAACATATAAACATAAAGCTGGAGCCTGAGGACAGTGTGTCCAAAAGCACAACATCACTATTAATTATAAAACACCTCAAGTTATTTGAAAGTTCTGAGGACAAACACACAAACACACAATGCCTCAGTGATTCACAGAAGTATATCACAGATCACAGAACTATATCAGGGTGTCTCATGTAGCACTTTAAGTGGGGTTGCATAGTTTATTTGACTCCTGATACCTGGCATCTTTTAGCTTTCACCAGCGCATCAATATCAGGCGTCACATCCTGAGTGGCAGCCAACTTCAGGATGTGATTCAAGTGCTTGTGCGTGAGCCTTGAGCGCAGCTTTGTTTTATTTATGCTCATTAAAGAGAACTTGCTCACAAAGATATGTGGTTCCAAACATGCACAACAGTTTTGCAGCGAGGGCTGTCAAGTTGGGGTAACCTGGCAAGAGATTCTGATTAAATGTGTCCAAGCCAGCTGCGGCAAATTTGCCCTTCAAATCCGAGTCACACTGCAAGTCTATTATTTCAAGTTGGATGCTGACGGGCAGATCAAAGGGATTCACGGTGAATGGCGAGCAAAAAACGTTGAAGTCTTTCTCCAGTTCACCAAAAATCTGAAAGCTTTGCTCAAACTCCCGTAACAGTCCCGTTATTTTATCTTTGAACCGCTTCATGTCTGCCACATGTTGGGTCGCGCACACATTTTTCAAACAGGGGAAGTGAGCTGCATCACCACCGGCAAGTTGCGTCTCCCACAATGACAGCTTCAACTTGAAAGAACGTATGCTGTCATAATACTGCGTGACAACTTTGTTGCGCCCTTGCAGCTGTTTGTTCAAGTTATTCAGGTGCTCTGTAACATCCACCATAAATGCAAGGTCCTGCATCCATTCTGCGGAATGGAATTCTAACACTGGTTTGCCCTTTTCTTCCATGAACTGTTCAATTTCTTCTCGTAAATCAAAGAAACGCCTCAGCACCTCGGCTTAACCATCTTACCTCAGTGTGGTATGGCAGGCCATAGATGTGGTCTTTCTCTCTGAGAAGGCTGTCAAACTGACGGTGATTCAGGCTTCTGAATCGGATGAAATTAACAGTTTGGATGACCACCTTCATGACGTTATCCATCTTTAATGACTTGCAACACAAAGCCTCCTGGTGCAAAATACAATGAAAAGCCAAAAAATCACGTCCTCCATTTGCAGATTGCACTTTCTCTCTGAACTTTGTCACAACGCCTGCTTTTTTCCCGATCATTGAGGGCGCCCCATCTGTAGCCACGCTGACAGCGCGGGACCAGTCCACTCCGACCCTGTCCAGCGCGCCGACGAGTGCGGTAAAAATATCAGCTGCTGTCGTTGTATCTGTCATCGGCACCAACTCCACGAACTCCTCGGTGACGGTCAATGTGTCATCAACTCCGCGGATGAAAATGGCCAGTTGTGCAACATCTGTAATGTCCGTGCTTTCATCAATTGCAACCGAAAACGCAATAAATGACTTTACTTTTTGCTTCAACTGGCTGTCCAAATCCACTGAAAGATCGGAAATCCTGTCTGCAACTGTGTTTCTTGTCAGGCTGATATTTACAAAAGCCTGACGCTTTTCAGGGCACACAATCTCCGCTGCCTTCATCATGCATGTTTTTACAAATTCACCCTCACTAAATGGTTTTGAAGCCACTGCGATTTCATTAGCAATGAGGTAGCTAGCTTTCACTGCAGCGTCACTGACGTCTCGGCTGTGAGTAAACACAGACTTGACCTACTTGCTCTGCCCCGGTATAAACAGTTTGCTTGCTTAACACAATTGCTATTGCGCCATCCAGTGGACGCAATTGGAACAGCAGTTTATTTTATTGAGAAATTGCAGCACATTTTTATACTTTACAAAATCATCTCGCGGGCCGGATTAAACCCGTTTGCGGGCCTGATCCGGCCCGCGGGCCGGACGTTTGACACCCCTGGTCTATGTGATGGGAAGAGCAGGCGTTTCTAATGTTTTACACAGTGTATTTTATTATTCAATTTCTTCCCAATTTTCCCAGTGTAATCACATATTTTAAAACTGATATGCCTACTTGTGTCTTTGAAAATGAATTATATGAGGCTATGTATTTTTGCAGACATTCATGGACAGTTTCGAATAAGTAATAAAATAAGCATTGGATATTAAATGCTCCA